ATTATAGGTTTTTTTAAGATTTTCGTTATTTATGAACTAGTTATTGTGCTGTACTAAAACCCCTCAAGTTTCCATAAAACACGGGTGAAAAAATCCCAAGTGCCAGGCTTATGTCAGTATTTTTCTTTACATATTTTGAGACTTGAAATTCAATGTAATTAAAACAGATTTTGTAGTTATTGTGAAAATATTTATATATAATATTTTGGTTGGAAATCTAATAGTTATATTAAAAAGTAATAAAATATATTTTTCAATATTATTTCCTAATTAATAGTATAAATGTAATAAGTATATAAGTATCTCTTAAAATGTATATTTATTTTATCGTTTAAATGTTAAAATTCATTAAATAGATTTGAACGAAATAGGTATTTGCAATTCTTATTAGGAATGAGATTAATAATAATTCATCATAGTATATTTTAGAAATTCTATTGGCATTCTTACAATGAAACGTTTGATTTATTTAATATATACTTATAAGTCAATTTGTCTAAATCATGCGCACTTAACGGCCAACAGAATTTTGTAAAATGTTGAAAGTTGCGTCTAAATCCTTTAGTTTGGTTAGCATTAATATCTGCCAGTTTCTGCAAAGACTTCGATAATCCCTTTTTCGTTATACTTAACTATATAATATAAATATATATATATTTTTTTTTTTTGCAACGGTCCATCCGGATGATGACTAATCCACTCTTTGAGAGTGGTTAGTGACCTCTACGTTTTTAAAGTAGACGTTGAGAAATAACACAAACATGAAGACCATATGTATATAATAATTTATGCGGACAAAGAGAGATAAAAATGAATATTGTGAGAGATGAGCAAACACATAACGGACTGCCGTGTTGTTTACGGACTTTTGAAAAACCTTCTTGGGTTACCCTAATTGAAAATACTAGTCTCGCTATTGTGAAGCGAAATAAAACACTTTTTATCTACTCGTTAAGTGCTATATTACTATACGTACAAAATACATAATACATATATTATAAATACATGTTTGTGTATAAAGAGTTAGTAAGTTTTTATTTAGACAAACATCGTGGAAAAACGGCGTAGTGAATTATTTTCTATAGGTGTTATTCTATATTATATTATTATTATTATTATTATGAGTTAGTTTTATATTTACTAATACAAGTAAAAATCAGCACAAGTCGGTCATATTTTTGTTAAACACATACCATATTAACGGTGTTCGGTTTATCTTGAGCTAGATTTGGTGTAATATATACATATAAAACAAAGAAGTAAAGTAGGCACGCGTATAATATGATGTATGGGAGATCATTTGTACAATACAAATTAAAATATATATTGTAAGTGTTTGCAGGACAAGCTGTTATTTGTTGGTTTAAACTTAAGTTATGCTCTGTCTGTGGTTTAAAATGATTATTTTCTCGACTGCTAAGATAAGTGTCATTTTTCTTGTACATTCCATAATATGAGGCTGGAATAAGTAGATCTACTCCGATATTATTCCTATAATAAATAATAATAATACTTTATGGCTCTGTCCGATTGTAGTGTATTTACAGTATAACTCTAACAATCCATGAATTTTACCCGGATTTTTAGGTCATAATTTATGAAACTACTGACAAATAAAAGTAGCAAAATCGTGTGTAAATATCTTAAACATATATTTTAATTGTGCATGTAATATTTGATGTGCCAAATGAAAATTCCAAAGTCTTGTATGAAAATTCAAAGAACTTTTTCCGTGAACAATGAATAAATTAGTGCTTCCTCATAAAATAAAATGTTCTCAAAGCTTCTCGGTACAATGTTCAGTTTTCCATCATGGTTGTCTGGATAATAAAAAGTGCATTAAGCTATTGCTTTATAATCCATCGCGATCTCGAAAAAATGTGTTTGTACTAAATTTACAATTTATTTTCCCTAGTAAAGTGTAGCCAAAAATGTATACTTAATTAAACTTGTATAAATGTAGAGTTCTACTTTTAAAATAACGTTAAGCTCTACGTATAAATAATTCCGCATCGAAGCTAAAAAAATATGTTATAAAGTAACTGAAACCGTTGTTTTTGCATTTTAAATAGCAGTATATTATAATAAAATAAAACAATCGTTTTTAAATGTAGTTTCAACAAAACTAAACAAAAAAATATGTACTCGGAAATTTGCATCACGTTATTAATGTTCAAACTTTACTTATTAAAACTACTGCGATGTAAAAAAGGTTATCATACAATCAGAATTATTAATAACAATAGCCAGTATAGAGGCGATTGCTATTTGTATTTTAATTGCATTAAAAATCTTTTGGATTTTATACTTTAAATTTTGATAAATAATTAAATTTTTTTAACAAGTTGCTTATAGACTGGGATTTACAATAGTTAAAATACACGTTGAAAACTATTTTGACCGAACACTATTTTCTAAAATTGTTTTACGAAATTTTAGAATTCAAACCTTGAAAGTTCCTATAAACTAGTTTTTTATAATACAATATATATTTCTTAATAAAATTAATTGTTTTTTCGCAATATTTATACATTTTTACTTAAGCTTTATTTTTTAGAGTTATAATTATAGTTTTGCGACAGACTGACGAACTTCTCGAAAGCCTTCAGTGCTTGTTAAGCTACATGATGACAACTCTTGTTATGTAAAATGTGTTTTATTGATTCTTCTTCTTCTTTCCAGCTTTTACAGTCCATTTAGGACCTTCGCTGTCTCAACCACTCCACGCAATCTATCTCTGTCTTCAATCCTTGCTTCTTCTGAGATTTCCGTGAGACCCATCTTCACCCTGTCCGTCCATCTTTGTCTCGGTCGTCCCCTGGGTCTTTTTCCGTTGAGTCTTCCAGTAAACATATTTTTTGCCATACCTTCCGACCTCCAAATATGACCCGCCCATTCTAACCTTTTGCTTTTTAGATACGAACTAATAATGCGTTTATTAAACATTTGGTACATTTCTTGGTTAGTTCTTCTTCTATATTCTCCACTCTCCATTACACGGCCATAAATTCGACGTAGTTTTTTTCTTTCAGAGATGTTCATCTTCTCCTCATCTGCCTTAGTCACCGACCAGGTTTCACACCCATACGTCAAAACCGGTCGTAGAAAGCTGGTGTATAGATATTCTTTTGACTTTCTGGACAGTAGTTTCGATTTAAACAATTTTGTGTTTTATTGATACCATAACTTTTCTTTGAAAATAGCTGAACAAATTGTAGTACGCAGAGGAGGAATAGGATCAGCTTAGGTCATTTTTGTAGTTATTAACCATGAACTGTTAAAGAATATCTAGAAATAGTTTTAATTTTAAAGTTTTTTTGAAAATATATATACTGAACTTGAATACTACAGTCGTTTCATTAGCGCTATTCTTCATTTTAAAGGAAGCGTTACTTTACCAAAGAAAATCTGATCATTTTCCTTACGTCTCTTTTATTGTTATGTGTTTACATTCAAATGAGAGCAAATCATTAAATAATCTTACCGCCAGAAAAAAAAAATTATTTAATCATTTTTATGTTCGACGATAGTCTGCAATTTTATTAAACAAGATATTATTGAACATAAGCAGAGGCAGTGCACGGAAAAAAATACACAGTTGGTCCTACTATGTATTTTTTCCGTGTATATGCAATTTTATGATAGGTGTCAAATAGTCTTTAAAATACTCGTAGTATACTTAAATGCACCTAAATTAAAATGTACCTATAAAAAAGGGTGGCATAACAAACAAACAAAATAGCGTTTTTTTGTAATTAATTTTGATTTGAATTTTTTTCTCACACATTGTCGTTGTAGAACCTTTTCCTTGGTAGTAAGGCCATCTTGATTATATCGTGTCTAGAAGATTATAACCGACCGGTTGTGGTGAGAGAGAATATACTATTGATAGGATGTCTGCCGGTCGAGAGATGGTGTTTCTGCACAAACTTATGAAGACAATCCGTTGATTCAGTGTTTATACCGTCTCTGAGATTAATATATATATATATATATATATATATATTGTCTAGCACGCAAATATCCATTATGGTCTGAATTAAACATTTGCACTCGGACCACTTGGACTGTCATTCGATTGTCGTCAAATGGACTCTTAGCGAGATAGCGAATTATAATGTATAATAAAGCGATGAGCGTCAATGGCGGCATGACGAATGAGAGTAAATACAAGAATAATACAATAAAAAGAGGAGGATATAAATGCTAAAAAAAAAATAAAGGAAGAAAAAGGGTTTAATGTCAAACGACTCTGTTGAATTATTATTGGCCTGTGCAAAAAAGAAGCATTGCGATTGAAACGACAACACGAGACAAAAGGTGAACAAAGTTTCGTACAACAAGTGCCATAAACAACAGTGGTGCTTGACCTTTTTAGAAGTGTCTCAAGACGGCGTTTGCTGTTTGAACCGTGAATTCCGATCTTTACCATAGACAGTGCCGTCTATTTGTTATACACGTTTGATTTTTACCTTTTTCAGTCATTTTCGTTATTATGCTAACATATAATTTTGTTATTGTCGTTGTCAGACTACAGCCGCAGTTGTATAATACTGTATTGTATTTTGTGCCTTAGCTGTTCCAGAGGCGCTGACCTTGTTCGAAGAGCAATTTCCATTTTTTCCCTCATTTTAAGAACCTACCTCTACCCGTCTTACAGCCCCTCGGGCGTCGGTAATTACCTACTGGTCTGTGTTACAATAGTTTGGAGCTTAAGTACTACCGACGGCCCAAATATGGTGATATAATGGCTTCGTTTTTATACCCGTTAGCTGTTAACTGACATTAAGTCGAAACACTTGATATAGTTTCCTATTAGAGCACACTACCCACTACCGTTAAACAGAGTACACATAAAGGTTTGTGGATTCGCATTAGCATTTTGAGTTGGCTGCATTGTACAGTGTTTCGAAGTTGTAAAATACATTTTACATTTTTTATTTTGCTTTTAATTTCAATCCGAAAATAACGAATTCAATATTGTGATATTATGATTACAGTTTGAATGTGGTCGGTCGTTTTGCAGAATTGCAGTGCAAAATGTTAAAATGTTGGTTTTCGATTCGACAACGATCTGTGCAAATCATTGTCATCGCTTTAATCCAGGTAAGTTAATAATATAACTTTTTATTTTATTCTATATCTTTAATACTAGCAGATATAAGATTACAAATAGAATAAGGTTCTGTTATTTTAATAACAAAAAATAAACAGATTTTAATCACGTTAGTATGTAACAAAATAGTATGAAAAAAATGATCTTAGACCACCAGAAAGCATTTTTATTTTACTGAACTTGCTAAAATTATTATTTGATCACAGCTCATAGTAAACACCATTAAGGTTTCCAAATTCTTACATAACTCGATAATCGTTTACAGTGAAAATATAATAGCCGTTTAAATATTAGTCTCTATAACGCTTAAGTAGGTAGTAAATAATATGTTAACGGATTTTATCAATTTGTTAGCTGTCCAGTTGATCTTATTGGAACAAAGAGGTCGGACACTTGTTTATGTCGACTCTTTTCGTCAACACTGTCATATCAATGTTTTTGGTAAATGGACTTTAATTGCAATAAAGTCCAATGGTTTATTATTACATACATACAAGGGCAATTGTATAAAATCAATATTGGAATTATTATTGTCAAGAAAACATAGCTAATCAAGGTTTTTTTATCGAGTAAATAATGGACAGTAATTAATTATTTATATTACGTTATTTGCATGTGAGTTCATAAATATGAAACCATAATATTCGTATTAGGCACATATACACAATGACTCACCCATCTAAATTTACATTTGGCATTTCATACTGACCACTAAAGCATACATATACATATAATACATATATATATTGCGTAATAATGTTCATAAAAAAATTGGGTTGTTAAAAAGGATTAAAATTGAAATTGTTTTAATCCTGCAATAACGAAATAGAGAAGTTGCAAGGCTCAAACCGGAAAAATAACAAATGAGATTTCTTATTGAAAATGATGACGAAACCGGTTATGATTAATAAAAAAGTTGGCTGAGAATGTAATATTGTCACCGCATTTTGGAGTATTGAATTTCAACACAACTAAAATTGTTTATGTATTCCATTCCTACTAAATCAAATACTACAATTTTTGGCACCTGTGCACGCCATTGTTATACAATAGAATGGCATATATAATTATATCAAATCGTGAAACTTCCATTGCGGTACGATAAATGTAAAAAAAAAAAATCAAGAAATGGTTATATCAAATCTACAAAATAGCCTAGCTGGATATTTTAACAACAGTTTTCCAATCTTGTGCGTAGCCTACCTAAGTGTCTTTCTTTAAAAAAACATTGTTAACGACAAACCTTCTTTTCTCCAAGCACGTCCAGTCCACGTCAGTCTTCTTTTCGCAATGTTTTTTTTATGTTCGGTCGTTGAAAGAAGTTCAACAATATTTTTAGAATTAATTTTTAAATACAATTTTTTTACAAGTATTTGAATAATTTACAACATTGAAATTGGATAAATAATATACCTGGTTTTAGATATTTTGTGTCTGTACTTTATTATAAACGTATTGTTTAGAACCGAAAATGGATTCTAATATTTTAACATTATGTGATATTAACAGATATGTCTACAAAAATCGGTGAGTGGACACGGCAGACTTATGGAACCTCCTTCTAGGAATAGTATGTGGCGATTCGGTTTTCCAAATCCGGTTGATTACAACGACAACGAGCTTTACTGCGGAGGATATGCTGGTACAGTATGAACTCGGTCTAGAATAAATAATTACATGTTCTGTAAAATTAATAACGTCCAATTTTGAATAAGCAATAACCACGCGATATTTTGGACATAGATAGAAAATTATCCATATTTAATGTTGATTTTTTTTTTTAGTCCAGTGGTCTGTAAATGGTGGAAAATGTGGTGTGTGTGGGGACGCTTATAACCAACCCAAGCCTAGGCTGCACGAGGCAGGAGGTGAATACGGTCGAGGAATAATCAGCAGGCATTATTTTTCAGGTCAGGTAAGGTCAATTCTTATTTTATAATATACCATAACCAAGTTTCGATTATAATATATTTAAAGCTGATTTACCATATTTGACTTAGTTCTGTTTAGATGATACTTAAAAACAATGTAAATAAAAAAACAAACTTCTTAAATAATTGCAATAAACTATTTTTCTCTCCAGTCAAAATAGTATAACTAGAATAGATACCTTATGTTTTTACGTTCTTTAAACGATTAAATAAATAACTAGAAACAAAACTAGTTGATAAGCAATAGTTAAATATTGATTATAAAAAAATTAAAATAATTTCCATACAATAAATAATCACATATTTTTACAAAGAACATACTTTTTAATTACTATTTACCAAAATAAATTTTCCATTGTCGAAACACCTATTTATCACGGCACTCAATGATTTATTATTTAATGGTCGGTTCAAACTTTAGCTACCAAGTTAGAAAACTTCTAATAGGGAATCCCTGTAAGTAATTACCATTTATACTTATAATTTACCAAAAACTTTTACGGTCTCCTAAAATATTAATAAAATATAATGTGGCACGGAAAGTTTTAATAAAACTTTATTTGGTAAATCATTTAAAACCGAAATATTTTTTAACGTATTATAATTTTGTTTTTAATGGATTATAACATTTAAAACCAAAATGTTTAGTTTCTAGTATGAAAAATAATACATTTTTTTTTCGTTCTCTATTTTTACAAATATATGATTTAAGTTTAAAAAAACATACTTAAAAAAAAATAGAGGACAAATAGTAGGCTTATTAATATTCAGACTTATTTATGATACATTGAAAGTAAAAGTACAGTTTAAGACCAAAATGTTAAAAAATAAATTCTAGAAAAAATACGGATTACTTTAAGATTTAAAAGTATTTGTTGTTTTTAAAAATAAAACAATTTTTTTCAGAAAAAACAAAGAGTATTAGAACTTGATTTAATTTGTACTAAAAACTATGACAAGTTTAGTTCATTTAATTTGAATTACCAGCTATATTTTTTTAGGAAATTTTCATCTACGATAAAATTTCAAAGGACTTTTAAATGTACTAAAACAATGTTTTTTCGGTTTTTGTATTTCTTTTTGGAATTGTGAATTACAAATATGTGACTATATTCCTAAACGTTGCATTTTAATACTTCTTGTTAAAATATGCATTTCTTTGATACAATTAGTCATTAATTAGTTTTGTGTGGCAATACCTTGTTTTGCTTTAATAGTGACATAAAAGCACATCTTACATTTGTTTAATCTAAATTTCTTGATGATATTCTAAATCCGATTATTTTGGAATTTTCCTATATTAGAAACAGTAACCTAATTCATTTTTTTTTTCAATTTGGTAACGCCACGTTTTAGAATATAGCCATACAAATACTTTTAAAATATCCCCAAAAATTACGATCCTTAAAAGTTTTTTACTCAAAAAAATAATAATTTGCACTTAAATTTATGTAAGAAATTTGAATTATTTTTCTTTATTTCCTCCCTTTTCCATACAAGGGGGGCTCTCTCTCTGCGTTTGCATGCTTAACGAAATATCTTTATCACTTTTATCCACACTTTTGTTTTTTATAATTCTGTCCAACCAAGTTACTTCCCTCGTCCATTTCAATAGGTATTCCAACTAAATGAGTTTAGTAGAAGCTGTTTGAAGAAGGATAACAAGTTGTGGAGTAATAAATAATGATTAGTCAATTGGGTTAAAAACACATGTTCAAATATTTAATGTGATTTATTGTTTTTCGTTTACAGACTATTGACGTGGAAATCGAGTTAACGGCTAACCACAAAGGAAGATTCGAAATGTATCTTTGCCCCAATAATAATCCCAGATACGAAGCTAGCCAGAGTTGCTTGGACAGGTAGGCAAATCTAGTGAAAGTTATGACTAACGTATTGCCTATCTCTATAACTAAAGGCGCCTTATTGTACGATATTAATATGGACGCAACCAGAGTTGGGGGGTACTATTCGATAAACCATTTATTCAATTAAAGCACTAACAACATTTGTTTCGAGTACATTTTTAATTGTGATTTATGTATATACAACTTTTTTAATCGAATACTGTTAATTGCAGTTTATTCAAATATAAATGTATTCTAAATTATGTAATACATAAAAAAATAATCGAATAAAATATAACTTTTTTATTTCAACTAATGATACGGTACTCTTCTGTTTTAATTATTAATTGTTCTTCAATTTAATTTGATCTAATTCTGGGTGCAATATTATTGAATTGTCAATTAGTTGTGATCAATGTATAAATTAAATTATCATCGTTTTATGTGTTTTGAATAATTTGAATAATAATATTATTAAATAACCTTACAACAGTTTGATTGTGTATTACATTTAACGCCCGTTTAAGGTATCCACTATTCGTGTCTGGAACCCGACAAGTTCGCTACATCATTCCTGATGATTCGAGAAAGAAAGAAATTTTTAGATACAGAGTGAGATTACCGCCTTATGTCACATGCACTCAATGCGTAGTCCAGTGGACTTATTACACCGGTGAGTGTTTATTCAATTCTAACAATACTAATGTTAGAAAGTCACTGACTTCAAGGAAAGTTACTTTAGTAGCCAAAAAACAAGTTCAAATGTCATCAACAATTATTACTATGGTAAATGTTTTGGTACATATATTTTACTACAAATAGTGACGCGAATTTTTTTTAAATTATAAAATTATTAATTTTTTTCAAGTGATAAAATAGAAGTTATATTCTAAGAAGTGAGTTCTCAGTTTTTGTTAAAGAAAACTTTGCATTGTACATTGCACGTGTGTTTCAAAAGTGGTACAAAAATTAACGTTTAGAGAAAATTGCAAAAAACTATTAGGCGGGCCTATCAAAAAGCATTTACATAAGTAATATTATTTTTTCCAAATTGTAAAGGAAAAATGATTCAATATAATTATTGCATATTTCTTTAGGCGTGCTTATTCAAGTCTTATCATGTTGATAACTAGATATATATATATTAATCTTGTGAGTATTTTTTTTGCAGTCTTACTCCCAAGTGGTTTTAATATGTACAAAATAAATTAACAACATTTAATGTCGATTGGATAAGTTTAACCCATCCTCCCCAGCCCTCAAAATTCTAAACGCACATGTGCACAATTTCATTTATTATATAAATTGTAGTTTATTAAAATTTTCAGGAGATTTGTAGGTTGCATAAAAAGATTGATATGAAAAGTTTTTTAATTATTACAGTTCACTAACGCACGCGAGAACACATGTTTGTAGCGATTAAAAATATTTTTAATTAACTCCCATAAAACGCTTTCACTAGCAACGTCTCGTTTTATTTAAAAATGTAATTAAAACAAACCTTTATTATTGTTAATTAAAATGTATGATTATTATAAAAAATGAGTAAATTATTGGTAGACGTTAATGGTCGCCATGTGCATAAAAAAAAATCGGTCCAAACAAAAGAAAATTAATTTAATAACCAAATTTTTAAATCTGCATTGAAGTTAAAACATACGTCTTCATAGATTTTCGGAAATTGTAATAAATTATATTTTTTGGGATTAAATAGTTAATGAAATTAATTAAAATTTATTGTTAGCATACATTATTTTTCAACAGTAAATTTGATTAACAATTTTTTCATAAAAAAAGTCTTGTATACTTTTATATTTAAACAAATGTATTTAAATTTTATACAAAAGTGAAGTAAGTATTAAAACTCTTTTAATCAAAAACCTTTTTGAAGCTGATTTATATACAGTGAGAAACAGACAGTTAAACAAAAATATTACTTGAAACAACAATATCAGAGCTTCTATGTTTCACAATAAATTACATGAGTTATGCATTTCAATTATTCGGGTTTAGTTGAAAACTTTAACTAATACATTTGTATAATTAGAAAATCCTAATTTATTCAGCTGGTTGTTCCATTTTTAAATTAAAAATCTAATTAACTTAGTTAGACATTTAAAATTTATACTAAAAAGAAATTTTCCTTTTTTTTAATAAACAAAACCTTATTGATCGGTATAAAAGTACAATTTTGTTAAGTAATTAGATAAATGTATATTTTAATACATTTTAACTTCGATGTGAAGGTGAATGGTATCGGTAAGGTAATACCAACGATAACTTTTTTACAAGTAGATCAGTGGATTATTAGAAAATTATTTAAAACAATTATTGTAAGCAAACATTAATATAATTAAAAAAACCCCACCGCAGATATGATTTTTGATATGGCATCTCTTAATATGACATTAGTCATTATCGTTTGGATTCAACTCTACTAAGTATCTAGACCTCTCATTATAATATTTTTAATTTTTATCTCTTAATTATTTTAGGTTCGATGCGTAGCTGAGAGGTTGTTTTTCTCATAATGATTGGTTTTTAATTTTATTTATATATTTTTGTGTCTGGACCTACTATATTTTCTAAACTGCTGAACCGATTCCTTCATACAATAAGTATATAGATCAAAAGTCATATCTGAAAGGTACTTTAAAGAACCAGAAAATTGAAAAAAATAATTCCTTTCCCTTCAAAATCAAAGAAAATACACAACAAATATACCCATTTTTAATTGTACAATTATTTCCATATCAATCGTCAATATCTGTAGTTGATTATTCTTAAATTAAATATATAATTAGTAAAGATAAAAAATCTTTGCTGATAAGTTTGCTTAACAGTTTTTTCTAGATAAATATATAATTCTTAACTTATATATTATGTTATTTTTACAAAAAACTAAAAATCGGTAGTTAGGTACCCATTTTGTTGTTGTGAAAAATATATTAAAGTAATTTATTGAGTAGTCTTTACCATATTCAGTTTCGCATTGAAGAGTTTAGTTGAAAGTTCTTTTATCAATTTGTATGTGTTTTTGTGGACTTCCAGGTAACATGTGGGGCACGTGTGAAAATGGAACGGAAGGACTAGGTTGCGGTCAGCCGGAGACGTTCCGGAATTGTGCGGATATCCGGATAGTGACCAGCACATCGGGATTGCCCCCACAGTTTGTACACAATCGTCCTCATTCGGATGCTTTTGCGTCACTTCGGACCGTCGACCTTTATAGGATGGGCCCACAGGTTTACTACCCACAAATTGTCAAGTACGTTATCCAGATATTCGAGTTAAGGTTTTCATCAAGTTTGATGGTCTGGAAAATCATTTAGCAGCCGACATTTGTATGGATCAAACTGTATAGAGGCTTGCTGGCAATGTCTTTAACGGTTTCTTAAAAGCTATAATCGTCAAAAAACATAATGTAATTAACAGTAACCCGAATTGCATTTACTCAATTGCGAATTTGCTTACAAGTCTAATTTATTATATTTTTAAGACTTCTGGGAAAGTGTTGTTTATCTTTGTTGGACTATCTGGATCTGTATTGGACTATGGCAAACTAACAATTACATTTTAAAGTATAAGTGCTATATTGTTTTTCGGTCAACGGACAGAGACAATTGTGAACGAATTATACACAACAATAGCATTTATTATCATGTACTTTCCCGAAACAAGATTAAATGTTTTAAAGTTCAGCGCTGTAGTGTATAAATTTACATAAAAATTACTCGAGGACAATACGGATACGAAAACGTGAATATTATACGGGATCGAGTTAAATATTATTCTTGACTTGGTTATCTTTTTCTTGATAAAGTTTTTAAATAAAAAAGTATAAATTCACCGAATTAAATAAATAAACTTATAATATAACGAATATTAATTTAATTTTCTCTACAGGTAGATTGTTAATGCCGGCCAACTTTTTTAATATTATGAAAATGAACGGTTCTAACAAGTTTTCTTTTTTTTTTTCTTAGTTAAAATAAAGTTTGTGACAACCGATATTTAGCATGCTGTCGAGTTATGGTAGTTTTTCCAAGTCAAGTCGCTAAAGAAGCTTAAAACTATTTTATTTTGCAATTCTTAAACATTCTTAAATTATTTTTATTTAATATTTAATTTTCATAAATCAAAATAAGCCGTCTGTATATAATAAAACATATTGTTATGAACGAATCATTGGATACTATCCAATTAGCTAAACTATTTAGTTTTGGAGAACTGATGATTATAGTTTTAAAATTTAATTGCAATTAATTTCAACTATTAAACACTTTTTTTTTAAATTAATCAGAATTTAATAGATACTAAATTAGTATTACTAATATACATAAATACACTGATTGGGCTGGAGCAGCAAATTTTATGCTAGCTTTACCTGACACCTGTTTGCTCTAGAAATATTTTACTGTCGGACCTGTTCTTAAATTATTGTTTACTGGTTCTTATAATGGTAAGGGTTTATCATATCTCAAAATAAAAACATCAATAATGAATGAACATATAAAACAATGTTAATAAGAGTGCAGTTTAGGCAAAAAACGTTTATTCGCTATAACAAAATTCCTAGTAAGTACAACCATTCCTTACATTCTTAATGATCATTCAACTTGAGTAGTAGTAAAAATACCCCAAAACGTGTTATTACCTGTGTGGAAAAAAAAAATTCATGTTATATAATAAATGCGTTTTTGTAACACTTTTTTCGGTTATTATGTCCTCCTCTTACTCAAGGGTCCCAGTCCCGGTCCCAGATCCCGTTCCAACAGTTAAAAGCTTGTCCAGAATCGTGGTACATAGAATCGGCCTGTTTCTTCAATCACCACCTACCATTTGCTCGAGTACCGTGGTTACTATGGTTACAAACCAAGTGTTTATTTTGGGTTGCCATGGTTACAAACATTTAATTTATTTACATTTCGTATTTAAAGTACAAAGTTCGTGTTTGAGGCCACCCTCAGGGGTGCAATTTTCGAAAAGTACTATGCCAGTTAGGTTCGCGGGTGTGTACTCAACAACTTCTCAAAGTTTCATGGCGATCGGATGAATGGTGTACTAATGCATAAAGGACAGACAAACAAATAAACAAACAGACAGACCGGCATTAATTTTTATGTATATATCGATATGATTTTAACTAATCTTTAAACCACTAAATCATATGATAAATTTTTCAATTCATCGATTGATTGCAATTTATGGTTTAATGCCCAACACTAACGCCGAGTTGTTGTTGTGATTAATATAGGGCGCAGGTCTGTGTGGCGACTCCCAAGTATCGAGTAGTGTCAGGTATGGATAAATGGTGTGAAAACAATTGCGTTAATTTCCCGTCAAACTGCCCGGAAGAATATTGCACGTGCCCGTAAGTATAATAGCCGATAAGTCAGCTAGTCCAAAAACACAGGTCTTAAATAATGCGTATTTACTTTTTTGTCAGTGACCAGTGCTCAGGTATTGGAGAAATTGAAGGAAAACCGGGAGCAGACGAATATTGTCAAGATCAATGCATCGTGTACGGTGCCAGTTGTCCGAAAAAACGGTGCAAGTGCTATTGATTCGAGTTGGTGTCATCGATTTGTGAACAGTTCATAAATAAATTCAAACTTACATGCTCTATTTGCCAATATTAAAGACAATAAAATATTTTGTTTTTAATAACATTGCAAAGGACGTTTTATTTCATTGTACTCAACAAATGCCTCAACTTATTTCGTTACATGTTTTCCGGGTATTCGCCAATACTTCATTCGTCTTATTGCCATAATTGTTTTCTAAGAACAATGTAAACGTGAGATATAAGTTATTTAAAAATTGTTTTTTGTATTTTTGGTATACAGCAAATTATTATTCAACTATTTTCAAAAGTGTTGCAATTTGCATATTGACTCCAAAATCGCATACTTAACATGCCGTTTTAGATTTACCTACAGTATTTTCATTATCAGATTGTAAAATATAATATATAATTATATAATATAATATTATATTATAAGTGCTATGTATTCATTAACTACAAAATTATTACTTACAAAATGGGACTCGAGGAAAAGTCATGACAAATCACCCTGGGTGTGCAAACCGTTACCCGGTTTCTTCAAAACCCGTAAAAATAATTTAAAAACCCCAATTTGAAAAAACAATCAATAATATAATCGGTAAGTGATTTGTAAGAATTTGCTTTCAATCCAAAATATGAACTATATAAATTGTAGACAGTATCACAGTATACCAAATGGGATTGACGCTACTTAAAAAGTTTACATAAAATATATTCTAAATAGTACAAAGTAATTGTTTGGATATGCATATGTATTAAGGAACTTTAACTATAACTTACTATAATTACAGTTTTAACTCATACTTGTAACTTAACCTGTACTTATAATCAAAAGTTTAAAGTTATAACATATTAGTACTCTTTACTACTATTAATTACTTCATTGTAAAATATCATAACTTAAAAACCTACTAATATAGGAACTTTTTTTTTGCAGTGTTTCGATACTTTTATTTTGTTATAACAAAAACATTATTAATATTAATATAACATCATACATGCTAGAAGCAAATAATTTGTCCAAAATAAACTTATTTTCAATCTGTTCTAAATATTAAGTTGTACTATAATATTAATAAGTTAGTGAAGTTAGTGGTAGTTTACAAAGAGGTAATAAATCACTTTACAAATTTTGCAGGAGAGTAACATGAAAATGTATTTTATTGTATTTTCAGATACAATAGGTGATCTTCATAAGTTTCCTTAAATATCTCTTATAATAATTGATAAAAAATGTAAAACAAATGCAGCCAGGAAATAACCGAAACTTATAAAAAAATAGGATACTTAATAAAACATTTAAAAACCTGTTAAAAAAACCCAAACCAATTATAGAAAATGTTGAGTCCGTTTGCATTTATGAATCTGTTTTGGCGTTTTGGAATTATTACAATATGACGTCAACAGACAAGTATTTAAAATACTATTCGTTGAGTTAACAACCATCATGCTTTTAAATATTTTTTAAAGTATAAACAATTTATACGAAAGTCAATTTTCAGTTTAGTTCTTGTTCGATCACCTAATTGAGAGAAAAAACTCTTTGTCGTCCCATCTAGAAACTATCCATAAAGATGGTTTTTTGGTAAATACAATTATATACAAAAAAAAAAAAACATTTATGGATATTAGGAGGACAATAAGTCCTTTTTTTGTTTGTTTTTGATTAGCAAAGTGAATTTTAAGAAGGCTTCTGTTTTAATTTGTTAATGGACCGCGTAAAAAACCGTTGTTTTTGTGTAAAACAAAAAAAGGGTTGCAGCTATAAGTTATGGAAAGGGAGAAATAACAATATCGTAGAATGCAGATAAATGTATAGTTTTGTATTTAAAACATTTACCAATTGATTAAAAAATAAATAACATTTTACAGTATTCGCTTATAATAAAGTACAAAATTATGAACGGAACTTCGGACGATCATCGACGCCAAACATATTAGAAAAATACTAAAAATGATTATTTGATTCAAGGATTTTCATAAAACAATAATTACCAATAAGGTTATCAAAAGGTTAAAGACAATTTTAGTCACTACAATATCGGGGGCGCTTTTACAAGTAGCGAGAGCGACAAATTTCTTCTTGTCGTCTCAGATAAAACCTTGAAATCAATTATTATCAACATTGAGTATAGATAGATAATACTGCGAAGAGCATAAATAATTTTTCGCATGATAATATTAAAGTTTTGTAATTGTCAACATCACATTTTTGATAGTAAAAATGTACTAAACAACCGGTTAAAATATGTATATTCGAAGTTCTTTTAATTTTGGTGGTCGGCCAAATACACTTACAGAGATTTCCATTATCTCTATTTTTAGAAACTAATTACAACTTCAAAAACAGTAAAAAATCCTTCACCACTCGTTTGGATATAATATAATGTTAGACACTTATGTATTACATTCGTCAAATTTCATTAACTCTTTACAGTAAATCCCAACTCCGAAACCACTAGTAGGTGGTAAACTGTTAATTTGTAGTTAAACATTACTTGCCTCAATTAACGAACCGTTTTCTATTACAATAGTATATATTTAAGTATTGAACATTTCTCAAAAGTAATCTTATTTTGTTTTGATAATGCATAGAATACAATTTTCATATTTATAATTAAAAAATCTAAGGTATAATTCTTGTATGATAAAATTATTGGAACCATGTGGTTAAAAAAGTACTAAATTATAATAACTATTTAATTTTCAGTTTGTACGTCTAAATCTAAAAATGTTTAAAACATTAATATTTCATATCTTCTGATAATTGTGATAACAACTTTATGCGTGTGATGGTCTTTTAATCCTCTTTCATCACAAGACAATGTCAGCATGACCAAATTAAAAAAAATACCACTTCACATTATAAAACTAGCGATGATTATTTGCAGCTACGAACAAATGCATATATCGTATACTCGTGAAAGTACTCAAGTACGCGTGTGTTTTTTGTTAATCAACTGTAAAATTATATTAAATTTATATTTATTTAGTACTCATATATACATGTGACTTATCCCTATGTATTCGATGTGTCTGGTTCTTGTTTAATAAAATCGGTTTTGCTGTAATTTTCCAACTTTATAATATCATATTATGATCGGCTGTTGTTTGACCAAATAGTAATAAAACCAATTGGAAATTCGATTTTTTTTTACCACTCCAGTTATGCATTATATAAAATTAAGGATTAAAGTTTTATAAAAACAAATTATAGTAAGAATTTGTTTGTCGTACATTTTTTCAAAAAAAAAAAGGATAAATTAACAGTCAACATGTATCTGGCAACAGATTATTTAATTATATTGTTAATACGTTTTACCTATAGGCAAAAAAGGCAAGCAAGTACTAGGGATCAATCCTAATCGAATCCACTCTTATTTAATGGTAAAAATTGTATTCTGCATTATTGTATTTACAATCCTTTTTATCGATATTTTATACTTGTACCATCTACAGATTCACTTACAGGCATTTTTTTTTAAAGCGATATCAACGCTTTTAGTTATAATAATAATTCCTACAGCCTAATGACTTCGCCGAGGTAACTATGCTCCGTCTCCAGTACCTATGCCTTGACCCACTATATAGGTTTTTAGTTTATTTGATCTTCTGTAAAACAAAATAGTTTATTAAAACGAATACATGCAAATCAATCTAAGCCAAAACAGTTATTCTATAGAAAAAAATGTATCGTAAAACTATGAAATTTTGATCACTATTTGTAATGCATTATTCAACAACATTGTATAATCCTGGCAACACGTTACTGTAAGTCAAGTGAACGGTAAAAAAAACATAATACCCTAATACAAAAAATAGGTATTGGATTTCTATAATAGTGGCCTTTAGCCTTGAATGTGTATTATGATAATGAACGTAACATGAAGTGTTTATTGTTATTACTTGTCTTCTCTTTATTATTGTTATTATGTTCGGTCTAAACGTTCTACCCCATAGGAGGCCTAAAATAATATTAAAAATTACTTTTAACAAGAGTCTTCCGGCGGCCGATGATGGAGCATATGAAGCAGCTTCGACAATGTGCCGGCTGTCTGGTGACCACCATTAACAGTCGGATCGCATCCCGAAGAGACACCTTGTTAATGATGCGAACCATGCGCCGAGAAAAGGAAGAGACGGTGGCGTTTCCATGAGTTTGGTATCAATGGGTTCTCAAAAAACAAAACTATTATGTACGTTTATTGATGCGTGATTGGATGGTGCTCGAAGTCACAATAATGTACATTATATACTTTTTATGATAATTTTTGTTCTTTGCGATTACAAAGAGATATACGAGACACTCCAACACTATTAATCGGGCAACGATGAGCTAGGGCAGACAAAGGAATTCCCAAATGCATTCAAGTATAAGAGCAAAACAGAACACATACGGTTCGTTAATCGAATATCTTATAAATAATAAATCCACTTTTTCGTTGCAAGTACAACTAAATTAGATTCTGAATTACATTATATTCTGGCCCAATAAACACTGAATAACCAATTTGAAAATATAGCTTTGCACATTGCTGTGGAATTCGAAATTAACAGTCCTGAATTTGTAATTTTTCTTCCACACACTCATAAAAGTATTGTCTAATAGGTTTAGGTTAATTTAGATGTCCTGAAATTTTCAAAACTTTATTTTATTGACACTTACAATTGTAAATTTTTTTTTTTATTTGGTTTCAGAATTCAGATTTATACGTAGCGCCTTATTTTGAAGAACATGAATAAAACTAGTAGCTGGCAGGCGACCGGGTAGGCACAGATTCCGAGGGGGGTGGCATTGGGCAAAGGCACTATTGCTTAAGTACTGATTAGAATTGATAAGCGTAGTGTTAGGCGCCTCGTCCACCTAAGTCTAGATACTTGTTGGAAAAGAAACAGATCTGCTAAGGAAGCGAGTGTCCAGTGCTGCTTAACGATTAAAGTAAAAATATGGTTTAAATTAAATTTGAATGTCTATAGGTTAGTCGGTTAAAAGGCGAGTGTCCGGTGCTTTTTAAATAGCCGCCGAGGTCGCTTCTTATTTTGAACATAGTATGGGTTTTTTGCATTTAGAAGCGGATAGGTCAAGTAAATTAATGTTTTTGAGGCTTCA